TGGTCTAAGAAGAGTGGTGAATTTGGTTTGAAAAGTGGTGAATTTGCTTTGAAAAGTGGTGAATTTGCTTTGAAAAGTGGTGAATTTGCTTTGAAAAGTGGTGAATTTGCTTTGAAAAGTGGTGAATTTGCTTTGAAAAGTGGTGAATTTGCTTTGAAAAGTGGTGAATTTGCTTTGAAAAGTGGTGAATTTGCTTTGAAAAGTGCCGGGTGATCTGACTGGCCCTCACAGGTAAACTCTGGCGCGATACCCACTTCACACGCGGAAGGAGGATCGCCTATGCCGGGGACCCACTTCACACGCGGAAGGAGGATCGCCCGCCGAAGGCGGGCGACCCGACTAGTTTACTTTAAAGGCATGGTCCGCGATAGGGGAGCGCAGGGAGTGGTGTTGGAATGTGGAAGTGAATTTATCGAGTGGCTCGTGTGTGAAGGGCAAATGCTGGAGGGAACATCTGCAATGCCCCTAATAGGCCCCCTCCATCCTCACACAGTTGTACGGGTAAAAGACTAAAAGACCGGAGGCGAGTCCAGTCGGCTGATCCCTTGTAATGAAGACTCAAGCTCCGTAAGAGACTGTAGAGCATCTCTTTCATGTACTTTTCAGTAGCATCGCTTTTGGCTGGGAGGCGGACTTTGAAGGCGGAGTCTGGAGGGGGAGTCGCCAGAAAAAGGAGTGTCACTGGAGCAACTTTGCACCTTTAGTTCCGCTGCGAGACTGGCCGAGGGTTTCTTTGCGGACCAGGACCACCCTACACTTCCCACACAATCATTTGTATTTTCATAGGTCATGGCGACCGTTCCTTTAACATTCGGGAACCTTTACACGAGTGACTGAATCCTGAAAATTACACAGCTGCTAATTAGGCTGACGCCAATAGGCTTTCCTGGACTTAATACTAGTAAACTCACCTTCTCGTGACGACGGAGGCAGTGCAGCAGGACTTGCTGCTGCTTACAGGTCTATGTAGAGGCAATCTCTCAAGGAATACTTGGCAATGGATCTTCTAGGAGACGGTTACCCTGTCCCCCTTGAAGTTCGATGGCGCGCACCATTAACAAGACGTCTTTTTTGCCACCCTTCCCACACCCCCCACCCCGTCCCCTGTGCTCAGTAGGGTTTCATTTCTGAAGATGCGTTATTCATTCGCTGTTCCAGATACACTTGTGATTTTACATGGAGGAGCTATTACAAATATGGAAGGAGACGATCGATATCCGGTGAATTTCCAAAAAGCTATACGGGTTTTCCTAGACGTGACAAGTACTGCTACACGACGGTCAGTTCGTTGCGAATTCCGGAAAGCGAGGGTTTTGTGGGGAATCAGGCGCCGTCGGAAATGAGAACCTACACTGTTTTACCGTACACTTTCAGATATGACAACTTAGGCTTGGACGTCTCACTGTATAAAAGATCAACTGGTTGGTTCGGTTGCGGATGGATGTTCTTGCCGAGTTTCGGAATGATGTCAGTGCTGAAACATTTTCTTAAAAGTATAGAAAAAATGTATTGTATGACGTATGATGAACAGTAGCGTCCTTGCTGGCCCTTAATCACTATCAGGACTAAACCGCTCAATCACAGTAATTCCGTGAAGTATGACATTCAGAAACAACTACGATCTGTGCCAAGATAATCCCTCATGTCCATTGTCACCAGGACGCCAAGTGCTAGAATTTACGCTGGATCCATCTCGACTGTTCAAGCGGCTTTTCCGAATGATTCATTATGATATGGTAGTTTCCAGAATTTTTCTTTTGGCGTCGAGTCTCCTATTCTATCAATTCGCCAGATCCTATTCTTTGACGCGCCTTCGCCAATTCTCTGGCGCGACAACGAATGAACGCGGCCGACGGTGCCATCATTTCTATCCAGACCTAATCGTGCA